AAGCTCCTCCCGACCTCTTCGGCGCTGTTTAAGAGCCAGGCTGCCCGAGCGCTACCGGCTTCGGGCAGCCCCCTTGCCTCCGGACCCTGCGCCCCCAGCCGGGCGCTTCCCCTCCCGGGCTCCGGCGGCGCAGGGTCCGGAGGCACGGGGGCTGCCCGAAGCCGGTAGCGCTCGGGCAGCCCGGTTCTTAAACAGAGCCGAAGAGGAGCAGAGCCGCCATTTTCCCGGACATGTTTGGCTTTTTGGCAATTCCCCCCGGACGGGGGTTTGACTGCCGAAAAGCCGGACATGTCCGGGAAAAAGAGGACGTATGGTAACCCTAAGTTGGCCCTTACGGCCTGTGCCTGCCCCAAGCCATGCGAAGCTCCAGGCGCTCACAGGAGAGCCGGGAGAGTGGCTGGAGACAAGTCCTTTGGACTTCTGCTTGCAGCAAGTTTGCTTGGAAATGTTCAAGCCCTGTACTGAATTTTGCCACTGCACAAATGGAGCCATGGGTGGTGGTTCAGAGCCTGAGCAACTGAAGCAGCGAGGGAGTCGATCTGGGAGTGGCTCTGGGGACCGAAGCTGGAGATGCGGTGCTCTGGGATCCCATTTTGTAATTAACATCGCAGCACTTTTTGTCATGCAGGAGTTGCCACCGTTGCTGTCCCAGTAGCACTCGGGGCAGCAGGCTTTACTGGAGCAGGCATTGCAGCTGGGACCCTTGCTGCCAAGATGATGTCAGCAGCGGCCGTAGCCAACGGAGGAGGGGTAGCCGCTGGAAGTACTGTGGCAGTGCTGCAATCCGTGGGTAAGTCTCGCAGGCATTAGGAGCTGAGCTTCATTCGTGCGCATCAGTGTCTGATCTTATGACTGGCAAACAATTCTGCAGTGAAAGAATTAGTATTTCCACATTTGCTCTCACTTCTCTTGCATGTAAAGAAGAACTGTCCCTCCATTGTCTTGGCAAATGAGCTCTGCTCCTCCCGACGCGTATGGTCCTCCAAACTATACTGTTACCGGTGGGCTGACGAGTGGGGACTTGGGCTCACTGCCTAACGAACACTGGCCTTATCCTGCACTCACCTAGGATCCTGTTCACGATCTTCTTACATAGCGTAGCCCCGCCGATGCAGGACCTCTAGCTGCAAATGTTGTCAGGCAAGAGGTGGAATTCCACATTGCCATGGGGCATGCTTCCTCAAGCTCACCACTCTAGCCAGCCAGGAGAAATTAAGCCAGGGACGCTAGCCACATCCCAACACCGAACTGGGTGTCCATGCAATTCCACTCGGCTGCCACTACAGTGCAGCAGAACACAAACAAGCAGATGCTTGAACGAAAGTGTTTTGGTTTTCTAAGTGCCCAGGAGAAGGGAGTGAGGGGAAGGGGAAGGGATTAGAAAGTAGCTGCGGTTACTCATATAAATCCACAGAAGGCCCTTAAAGGTTATGGCAAAAGAAAGCCAGACGTGATTAACTCCACTCTAGCTTTGGACTGGACTCACTCACTATTCTGCATTAGACATAAATGACCCAAGCTAGAGGAACGCCGATTCCAATGTGTTCTGTGAAGACAGGTGAACAAAGCACACAGCTGTCTTACTAGTCCCGGGTGACGGCAGGCCGATTTAAGAACGTAATCAGTTACATCCAGGCCAAAAACTAAGGAGGGTTATTTGTTTTGTTGTGCCCCCAGTCAGATTGTGCTGGCAGGAGCTTTGCTGGAAATTGACGCACCAATGGCAGGGGTTAACTAGCCTGCTAGGAGAGCTAATGAACTGGGGTAACATTTCCTCTGTTTCCTCTCAGGTGCTGCAGGACTTTCTCTTGCTACCAAAGGTGTGGTGACAGCTGTTGGGGGAGCACTTTCATTCTTCTATCCAAAGTGAAAGCTACGACTGCTCTGGCCGCTGCAGCCTGCCTCTTGCTTGTCCTGCCTTCTCCACAAACAGCCCTTACACTCGGTTTGGCTGGTGGCTGAAATGTGAGAAAACAATAAAAGCTTTTTGCTGATTTAAATGCATCTGGTCGTGACATAGCTGACAGCTGTTGATTGTGGGCAGAGTGGAAGTTAATCACTGAGTTTGTACACACGTGTCTGTCACACACACACACACACACAAGCCGAGGGTTGTCCAAGTGTGACCACAGCCCCGGTCATTTGGAGTCTGCTCATGCCCAGCACCTTCCCAGAAGAGGGCGCTGCAGGGCATTTGGGGTTCCAGCTCGTGTCCATTCCTGACTTGGGGCAGGGTGCTGGAGAGCACGATGCTACTTCTCTTTCCGGTCTCGTGGGTGTCTTTTCTTTTGCTCAGCACAGTCCACCTATGTGCAAAGCCCCAAAAGGGGAAAGCTCCAACAAGAACTAGCGTCTGCCCCTGTGGAGTGGAGATCACAAATGGTCCCCTGCATCCAGGCCAGTGTGCTGGTGTCTCCAGCTAGCCCAACAGCACAAAAACCATTTTGCATCCCGATTGCCAGGGGCGCTGGATCAATGTGTATCGTGGGGGGGCTGAGAGCCATTGAACCAAACTGTAAACCCTGGATATCATGGAAACCACTTCAAGCCGGGGGGGGGAGGGGGTGCAGCAGCACCTCCAGCCCCCCTAGTTCCAGCACCTGTGCTGAGCGCTATTCACCTGCCACCCCACGGGAACGAAGCTTAATCTGATCATCAATTCTGGTCGTCTACATCTTGTGCTTTCACTTGCTGCAGCTGAATCAGAAGCCACTGCCTGGCTTAGGACCCCCCCTTGCTGAAATGCTGATACTACCACTCTTTGCGTGTAGCTGGATAAGATCAAACAGTCGGAGAACTGAATGTTCATGTAAAACAGCTCCCAGTATCGGTTACATGGATTTGAGCCAGTGATTATTGGCTCAGCAAATCCCAAAGACGCTAAGGAGCCGCGATGGGGAACCAGGGACCTGAGACAAAGGTAAAAACTAGTTCTGCGGTCATATAAAAATATTCTCCACCAGTTGCCTCAGAGAGAGCTGAATCTACGCTAACGCGGCCCATTAGCCTCCCACACAGAACCTGAGTTTGCTCAGCTCCTGCAGCTGGCCCTGGTGTGCACAGAAAAATGAACGGGCGCTGCAGTTTTCCTCCAAGAGGCCAGTTCAATGGAGAGTGATGGGGTGAACCAACCCCACCCTGGGCCAGAAGGGGTTAATGAGAGCCTGGAGGCGCTCAATCAACCCTGCCCTGCTACACCTGCCCTGTGTGTCAAGCCCAGAGGGAGGCATTCAAGGGCTGAACCTGGGGCAGGTGCGGCTGGCTAGGAGGGAGAGCAGGTGCTTGGCTCTCACTCAAGGAGGGAAGCTTGGTTGGAGCCAGAGTCATCCTGAAGGTAGCTAGGCCTACAACAGGGAGCCCAAGGCAGTTGGGAAGGACAGTGGCAGGGAATGAGGCTGCCCAGGATTGCTTGCTGGGTCAGAGACTGCCCTTCCAGGGGGAGAGAACTCCCCTCCTGCAGAATCGGCTGGCAGGCAGGCAGCTCTGCAAGGAGTCTGGGGAAGAGGCTTGGAGAGAGTGGACCTGATACACCAAGAGTCTGGGAAAAGGCTGGGAGAGAGGCCCAAGACAGCAACGTAGGAAGAGATTCCACAGAGACAGCAAGGGGTCTGCGTAGTCAGGCCTGGACTGCTGATTCAAGGCTCCCTGGACCAGAACCCAGTGGAGAGGCAGGGCCTGGGTTCCCCTCTCCGCCCACTGAGGAAGGTGGAGTAGAACCCCCCCAACAAGGGGTGAGAACCGATGAAGTCCCCTGATGCCGTGTGTAAGGACTAGTGGGACTGGAGTCAGACCCAAGGCCCACTGCAAGTTGGTGGACTACTTGTCGGACCCTTGGCTTACCGTGGAAGGAGTGGGACTATGCGTGACCCAGCCAGAGGGCCAGAAGCGGACCAGGGCCCCAGTGGCTGTCAGCAAGGGGTACAGAAGGAGAGCCTGATGTCCCATGAGCAGCTCCCAGGGGATGGGCTGGCTGGTGAGTCTCACTTGTATCTGCAGTTTTATACAAACATGGCCCCCTTCCCCTCGTCCGCTCCCTGGGTGAGGTCTGAGTCGCGTGTGCTTGCTGTGGTGACCATGTACCTTTTGATGGCTTTTACTCTGAGCTCTGCCTCCCCAGCCAAGCTGCCGATGCGTGAGCAGGATTCAGCTCCTTCTGATGCACGCTCAGCAGAACTGCGTACCAGGCTCCAAGCCTGCGTGTGACTACACAGGTGTCACTGTGAGTTGAATTTGGCCTGTCAAACCTCTTGCAGGTGACGGCCCATAAGGAAAGCCCCCAGCTCCACTCTCTGATCGGGGGGTGGGGTGGGGTAGTAGGGCTGGAAGTTAAAGGCCTCTCTTTAACTTGCAGCCTGACCACATTTAGTCTTGGAGTCTGGTAGAATGACTACCTAGGACCCCAAAAGGCCAGTTTCGCGGAGTAACACCCCGCTTGAAATCCCCTTTTTCCTTGTATAAAAGGAGAGCACTTTTCCCTGTTGCCTGTGGTTATTCTGTGGGTCACCAGTCTACTTGTAAATGTATCAGAGCCTAGTTCTCCAATGCATGCACCAAGCTACCAGCCTGGGGCCAGAACCAGATCCTCGGCTGGTGTAACTGGAAGTGAATGACAGCACTCTGATCTACACCAGCTGAGGATTTGGCCCATGCCATTTCATCTCTTTGACCTTTTCAGGACAATGGTGCCTGGTGATAACCTGTATTTAGCAAAGCAGGAATTACTGTTTTGGTGCAAAACCTTGTTACTTGCATTACTGCATACCGAAGCCCTCTGTGCTAGGCACTGTACAAACACAACACCGAGAGGGTCCCTGCCCCAAAGAGCAACAAGTGACAACACATGGATAGAGACAGACACGAGGAGATAATATTGGGCTGTATGATAAGAAGTGGTCTGAGCACACCAGAGGTCGAATTTAAGGGTTTTTTTCATAGGCATCACAGAAAAGGAGAGTTTTAAGGGAGGAACTCAAGGCGGACAATGAGGTAGCACTGTTTATATTCAGGGGGAGCAACTCCAAACCTGAGGGGCAGTGCGGGGTGGGGGGGGGAGAGCACAAAGTGGCTTGTTTGAAAATGTAACAAATGGGCAATGGAGGCAGAGCTGATCTCCCAGTAGCAAATGACTGATGATGGGTGGGGTGGGGAGAGGCTGTCAAGGGCTTGGAAAGTAAAGACAAGTAGCTTGGGGGAGGGGGGGAGTTGGAGAAAAGGATGTTTTTGAAATGCATATATGCTAATCACTGCTATTGAATGGCAGAGCATTGCAATGATGGGGAACCCTGCACTGCACACTCCAGAGCTGAGGGCGAAATATTACAGCCTCCTGCACGTGCTCAAAGCTGGTTTGTTGCCAGTGAGAGATTCTCTCCCCCACACACGTTCTAATATTTGCATAAGTCTCGGTTGCATTTGGTGCCCCCAGTGTGGAAACCTGCTGACTCAAACTACTCCTCTGATTAATCCTGGTGGAGTCCAACAAGGTCATGCCGGCACTCTCTAAAGAGATCCAGGGTTTCCTTCCGCTGGCAGCACTCCCCTCGGGATGATTAGAGGGGGTGGTGAGAGCAGAGACCCAGCACCTGTTCATGCTTTAAAACTAAGGAGGTTTGCTCAGAGACACCGCTCAACTGACCCTCGTTTTATGGGATGTCGCTTGTTTTTTTGTCTCAGGTTGCTCCATGCAGATCTGGGGTTTTCTCACTCTTGGCACTGAAAGTTATTTGCGTCAGCCCTGTAGAATCATGAGGCTGCTGGTGATGGCAATAGCCCTTTCTGTAAAGGAAGGCGTCCGGCAGCACTTTGAGGTTCCTGCATGAATACATTTTCAGGTCTGTCACCCAATGTCCCACATTTGCTTACAAACAAGCGAGTTACCCAGCCAAGAGGACCAGCAGCACAGCACCTCCCCATCCTGCTATTCATCCCTTACTTCATTGTGTGTGACCAATTCATTTTTAAAAAGTTTGATGCCGACTTTCAGAGCGTCACGAAGCTCTTCACCCCCAAGTAACTGGAGCTATTTTAAAACAAGGCAAATTGTGGTGTGTTGTATATTCAGTTCAAAAAGTTTTGCATGATTGTATAAAAATGGAACCTCTGTTCCTTACCATAATTTATTCAGACGAGGAGGAGGACAATATTTAATTGGTGGCCAGATGCCAGCGCTCCCCTAACCTGCTCCAATCCATGAGTTCAGGCCATAGCCAGCTGTTTCTGCCAGAGAATCTCAGCTCTTCTGATTTGGAAGCAGCAGCCATCAATGCCTAGTGCTTTACCTACATGTTTCAAAACCACCAAAATGTCCTTTCCACCTTACAGTCGCCAGCAGGTTTCAGCCAGTGATCTCTCCATAAAGCATGTTACTCCCCAGGGATAGACGTAGGAGCAATAGAATGAAATTAAGGGAGAATTGGGCTCAATATCAATAAAATCTTCTCAATGGAGAGAGAGTAGCCTAGGAACTAGTCTCCAACTGCTCTTCAAGAAGCCCCATCCCTCAAGCCTCACCCAGTACCCTGGAGAAACCACGCAGCTCCCCAGGTCTCACTGCTCTGCTCACCTACAGAGGCCACTACACAAGTTACAGGTTGACTGAGTGCAGCCTATTGTAGTGTTGGGTGTGTAGAGACACACAGACGGGTGGCACAGGGCATTTGGCACTGAGGTTATTCCAGGTCACTTGCATTAGGGCAGCATGTAGAGGATTCCAAACAGAGATCAAGGCCCCATTGTGCTTGGCCCTATACGGACATAATGAAAAGGCAGGTCCTGGCCCAAACAGCTTATTTAGAATCCAGCCTGGGTCAGCAATGGCCAGAAGTCATTAACTCATTGCTTAGAGACTGCTGATAACGAGATCAGGCTAGTTCCTGATGCACAGATGTCCACAAGAGTTAGTCTCCCTGCTCTGTCCCAGAGACTGTCACTTTACCATGTGCTTGGATTAGGGTGGCTGCCGATTTAAAGCTTTACTTTAATTTCATGCAGGATATGCGGG